ATTGGATTCATACACAAAATCACTGTTTTTGCCTACGCCAATGAAACTAAGGGCATAATCAATCTTTACTTTAGGCCTTAACGGGTTCAAAATTCACTCAATCATTCACTACATCGGAAACAGTAGCGCTGGAAGCTTATACTACGACAATGTATTTCACTGATAACTCTATCGAACCACGAAGTTGACCACTGCAACTAATTCCGAGGTCAAAACTGCTCATAACCTCCACGCCACAATACGCCTCGTTGGCATGTGTTTAGGTACTGAGACAACGTCACCTTCTGCAGTACAAACAGATGTGATACATTTCGAGTCAAGGTTTTAATAACAAACGGTCAGAGTTCATTTTTAGTATTGCAATCAAATATGGTAAGGGTATAGGAGTATCAATATTGCCTACACAGAGACCGAATACGTAACCTATTAAAACATAAACGTCCCTATGGGTTGGGTGACAGTGTTTATTCTACACCAGAAATCGCTTGTAGGCTTGTGCCATTTCGGGAACATTTTAACTAATTTTATATGGAAAACGAAAATATGATTCCAATAGTGACAAGAAAACCACTGTTTTCCGTTTTATAACTCGCAAAAACTACTTTAAATAACCAACTCCATGAAGAAAAGTTGGCTAATAGTCTCTCAGATGGAACCTGAAGGTGTTCATAACAATCCACCACTGGTCCCTCGGTCTTTCCATGCCAAATCAATGTGGGTCACAACTAGAATCCTCAGAATTGAATGTTTTGTTTTTTTGAGATTGCAGTCACAATGGAGATATGTATTTCTGCAAATATGTTACTGCTTTATTGCCACTAGATTTATCAAAACAGACATCCAAATTTGTCAAAAGTTTTTTTTTCCCATAACGAAAGGTAGCATAACTTCTGCCTAACAAGGAACACCTCATATTATGCCCATTTCAAAGATAATAAAATTCCCTTTCCAGTGAACTATTACAGCAATATATTCAGCACTTCAAGGTCTTCAAATATGATCTTTGACTTATACAATTTAAAGAAATGGAAGCTTCAAAAGTTCTTCACAGAACTTGTAGTTTAAAACTCAAAGAAACACACGCACACATAAACAGGAAAGGCAAGCTCAGAGTTTATCATTAAATATCTTAGTAAAATGAAACATCTACACTGGAGTCATTCATTTACACTTCAGGGAATGGGCCATTGACTCGTTCCCGGACAGTCGCTCAAAGCAACTTGTCCTTATCAGTCTTGTATAGTGTATTTGAGTAGTGAGTGACAAGCCCACTGCCTCTGCACAATTTCTACTCAATCCTGATTTGTCTGCTAGAGCCACCTAGTAGAGAATGAGACACATCGGTGAGAAATGGCCGCTGAATTTTGCTTACGAAACATCTCGTTCATGCTCGTACGGTTCTATCGTAAATCTACGGCATCGGATCGCCGCTTTTTATTACCTTTAAAAATCCATCGACCTCGGCTGGGTTTGAACCCGCAAACCTTGGATCCACTGCCAAGCACACTAACCACTAGTCCACCGAGGACGAGTCATAAGGTTAAAAGGATAAAGGCCAATGCCTCTACAGTCTTTGTTAAGGACAAGAACATAATTCATGCAAGAACTCATTTCACTCATATTAAACCTTTTCACAGAAAAGACCCATGCAGGTCTTTCAAAAATGAACAGAAGTTATAAATGTACTCCAATCTGGAAAAAACCCATAGCTTTCCAAATGCATTCCTTGCAATTCAGTACACATCACTGACTTTATACTCATTTATTGCATGCACAAATCTATTGTTACAAAAGCTGATCAAATGTAGACGTACCACAAATGCCATTGCTTGCAACTCAGTAAGTTACGTATGTTTAAAATAAATGGGAAATGGGAAACCTCCAGGACAACGAAAAACTCTGGAAGAGTGAGAATGATGTCTGAGGATAACACTATTTTGCAAGATGTGAATATGGGATTGTATGGATCATATCCGATTGCTAAGCAATGTTAATCCTGCAGATTTGGAAGACAATACTGATGTAGGTGATTTATGACAGGAGCCAATTTTTTAGTATAATGAGCTATTTCGGGAAATATTTCATGCACAGCAAAAATTACTAGAGTAATACAGACCAAAATTAAATTTAATTTAAATCTATCAAGTAGTTTTGAAGACAAAACATGCATAAGCATATGGGTTCATTTTATAAACTTCCTTCAAAATATTTCAAAAACAGTATCACGGCAGATCTCAGGATTTACATTCTAGCGGACTTAATTATAAAAAACACTCCTTTCTTTTGGCAGATTGACTAACGTTATGGCACTTGGAAATACACATAATTTAGGTCTACGCATCTTCAATGCTTACAAAATAATTTTATTAAGCCACCAATACTGTCCTGAAAATGAAAATGAATGAAATGATGTGTACAGAGAATAGCTATACCAATATGTATTAAATTACCACCATTCAATCTCAGAAAAGTTTCTGCGAACCATGGCAACAAGTTGTTTTAATTAGAATTAAGTTTGTTCCATCTCCCAACACTAGAATTGGTCTTCACAACTTACTGCTGATTCCTTTTTGACCACTATCAGGTAAAAACAATGATAACTTGATGATCTCCATTCCAACAGATATAGAATAATACTTGGGACATATCTAATTTCTACTCTACTCTACTCTACTCTAACATTTAGAATAATGTTCAATTTTAATACATTTACCTTCCTCTACTTGAAGCACTGTAGCATCACTTATTACAAATTAATAATGTTCTAAATATGGTATAGAATTTCCCATTGTATAACATAAATTTGTTTATGTGTTTTTAAAGATACAAGAAAATAAATCCATAGTGTATTTAATGTGTATGTGCAACAGCACAGACAGATGACTTAGGGAGTCAACCCACGTGCTAATGTCCACTTGGTAGAATAGACAGCCTTTCACATTTATTTAACTAATGATGGCCCACAGCAGAGCTAAACCCCATTGTCAAGCAAAAATAACTGCAATTTCTTAGATAAAAGTGGTAACACACAGTCATAAGTGATAGAAACAAATAAGCTAATTTTCCTATTTTACATTTCACTATACATAAACTGTCCTCAAAAGGAAAAGATAGCAGAGAACATTCAAAATATGTTAAACGAACAGTACTGAACAAAACAGACAACAAAAATGTTACCCTGATGATGGAAGCAGCAAGGACCTCTAAAACTTTGTGGTCAACAACCCATAAGACAGCCATCTTCAAACTCACTGCTGTCATAACCTCAAATCCAGTAGCCTAACACATTTATAATTTGGAAAGAAAGCCTACCCTCACATCTGGTTCTAAGAACTTATCTCCATCTTCTTTTCCTCCACTCTACTACAGCCGGATGCAGACAAATTGCATTATCAAATAGTGATTTTAATAATTTCAAATATTCCCTCAATATGTTATGAAAATTAAGGTTTTCACCACTTTAAATAAATGTCTTAAGCACATTATACATACTTTATATCATGCATCTGCAAATCTGTTCCCATTACACATGTGTTGAATTCACTGCAGTCAGCTTATATTAATTTCCTCTTCAAGTTTTAGTTAGAACTTAGCCTAATTTTTACCACAACCTATGACGTGAGGTAACTCTCCTGAGCTCACTAATTGACCCAAGCATTATCATATTAGTGTGGCTAATAAATCCTTTGAAAGGGTTACAAAGTTCAAATATTTGGGAACAACAATAACAAATGAAATGACACTCATGAGGAAGTTAGGAGGAGACTAAATTTCGGAAATGATTGCTACTTTTCAGTTCAAAATATTTTGTCTTCCCGTCTGATTTCTAAGAACCTGAAAATTAAAGTGTATAAAACAATAATTTTGCCTGTTGTTTTGTATGGGTGCGAAACATGGTCTCTCACTCTGAAGGAGGAACACAGATTGCAGGTGTTTGAGAATAGGGTGTTGAGGAGGATATTTGGGCCTAGGAGAGAAAACTGCATAATGATGAGCTTAAAAATTTGTACTCCTCCCCCAGGATTGTCAGGGTGATTAAGTCGAGAAGAATGAGATGGGAGGGGCATGTAGCGCGCATGGATGGGACAAGAGGTGTGCACCGGGTATTGGTCGGGAAGCGTGAGGGAAAGCGACCGCTGGGGAGACCTAGACGTAGATGGGAGGATAATCTTAGGAGGGATCTACGGGAGATAGGAGTTGAAGGAGACTGGATTTTGTTGGCCCAGGACAGGGACCGGTGGAGGGCTTTGGTTAATTCGGTGACGATCCTTTGGGTTCCGTAAGCCATCTAGTTAGTTAATAATAGTAGTGAAAATGAACATTATGGTGGCTACAAAGGCCCATACCTCCATCAGAATTTAGGAGTTTATAGTTACTAGATTCTATCCTGTCTATGTTTCCTTGCTTGGTACTAAGTTCAGTTTAACTTTACTGTATTCATAACGCAAACTCTCTAACTTATATTAGCGTTATGTATAGCATATATAAATTAACAACAACACGTAAAACAGGACCCAGACGAAAAATTTTGACACTAGACAAAGCTAAAGCGACTATAGCTGCACACTTTGAGGAATGTAAGTGAAAGTGGATCACGCTAGCAATGCTTAGCACTTAGCTTTCTTTGAAACAAGCACTTAGTCAACCGATAGCAATATCCCAAATAGCAAAAGTTTCATCTCATACGATGGACAGGTACTCGCAAACATATATATTAAATCGCTTCCAAGCAAGCCGACAAGAAAACGCTGCTATATGAATTGAAAACTCGTCATGATACAGTGAAAGTTGGTACCAACCGCTGATCTACAAACTGAATAATGCGATTTGAGAGCAAAACACTGGAGCTATGGAATGGCATACACTAACAAGTATGACATATTTTTGCAAAAAACACAATGACACAGATATAAACGATTCAATGAGTCATTTCATACAGCCACAGCACATTATGTAACCTCCTGGTTTTCAATCATTAATACTGCGAACTATGATCTTACCTGTCCGAGGTTCCTGAACCCGTATTTTCTTGCAACATCATCTGCCGCTTCTTGTCCACTTGGTATATGCACAGCAAACTGATTCAAGTACACTGGCGACTGTCGACAGTGTCCGAATGACAGAAACGCCACCAAAAAACACAGGCACAAAATATAACACCACTCCCATTGAAGTCTCATGTTGAATGATCAGCAGTCTTCAAACAACGGACCGTTGCCACACCCCCACGTATTCGACCTGTAATAATACATCAATTAATATTTTGGAAAGTATATCTCTTAACTGAGGACTCGGCTCAATAGAGTAAGTATCTCTGACTGAACATTCATTAATTCATTCATTGTAAAATAATTTTGCTTATCCACCACATACCAAATGTCATTAACCTATTTATGAAAGAGGGGGCGTTTCCCTTACCACAAATATTTTTAACTTACACTATGTAGACCAAGCTTACAAACAGCACAGTGACTTCTACTCATTTCATCGCTACTGGCAACAACTCTTGCTTCCACACTGACACATAACAAAAGTTAAAGCAGCATTCAATTACTGATCGAAACACACCTTGTTGCCTCCTTTTGAAATTCATATTAAATGACTTTATCAAGGTTATGGGCACATCGCCATGTTTCTAAAAAATTAAAACTTACAGAATACATAAAACATGCGAACCTGTTCTGACAGAAGTTCTCCAACAACTTTTGAGTGTTCTACTTTCGACTACAAGGAGCACGATGTTGACACATTCATAACTAAATTCACGGATTTCTGATACAATGGCTATTTAAACATATGACGTTATCTTTTTGTCCTTAACAACATGTTTGTAAAATGATGAAACCATTCGTAACACACGTACACGAATAAAATGCAAATTACTTCGGAGCACCAAATTTCCGACCTACACAAACCGAGAGTTGCACCTCACTATTCACAACAGCTTAGCACGGAGGTGACGAACAAATGTCTGTAGCATTCTTGCTCAGGGTTGCCAACTACACAAATAGTACGCTAGATCTTTCTGAGGCGCTAACCTAAAAACACTATTGAGTTACTGTTCGCTAAATCTGTTTTTAAAACAATTGGAACACAACACATCTGCTAAAAACTAAAAAATTGACAGTGGAACCACGGTTCCGGAGAATCTGACGTAAATACGTCCTTGTATTTAAATTATATTTAGGCAATAAATACAATGAAAGGAAGTTTATATATTAGCTTTATTCTAAATATTCCCTTTATACATGCTTTAAAATTCAGTAAATAGTTTGATGAAGACATTGCTTATTTAACTTTAATTAGTTACGCTTAAGATGGGTCTGTGGTAGCTGAAATATGTTATAAAATTTGTACACTTTAGAGTATCAACATTTCGTGCAAACACCATCTAGTAGTACTACATTCAGGATTTGACATCAACATTAAGCCAAACGTTTCCTCCATAAATGTGACAAAGCTTTGATTTTCTTTCTTCTTTAAATCAATGTTAAAATCTCCTGCCAATATTATGGGTCCTTATTTACTGATCATTCTACATATAGGTTACATTACCCTTACTCCTACCATTCCTGAGGAATGAACATTTAAAGGTGACTCGGCGCTGGATCTTACACAGCTTCGTAACCAACGCTGTTTTTGCCGAATGAGCCTTCCGTATAGACATATTTACGTCAAAAGAAGACAAGCCTAATTCTCTTACACGAGTTCACAAATGCAGATGAAAACATTAAATGTGGTGAAGAATAATAATAAATAGGAATCCCTTACCTCAAACTGTGTTCACTTGTAAGAGACCACGATGTCCACTGGCAAAGATCAATTTAATCAAAACTAAAATGCAGAGAGTGGAGGGCAGTATCACAGATTTCTTAATAATTCTTATATAAGATAAGTACTTGTGATATTCTAAAACGTTTCTAACAGCACAATATTATCTACTCTACGACGCACTTCTTCTACAAGCGATTCACAGCTCAACTCTTTCCACTATAACGAAAGCGGATTGTTGACGGCAGTAATGAAACACAATAATGCCGAGTAAACATATGAAATAACAATTAGTTTCTTAGGTAACGGAGTGGATTGCAACACGATTTATTTAGGCAATTATACAGCATGCATAATAAATGAGAAAAGAGCCTTACGGCATGCTCAGCCAATATTGTTGCAGGCGTGTGTTAGAAATTCGAATCCTTTTTCTTGCATTGTTAGGCACGCAGGAGTTTATATAAAAGCTGACCATTGTCGGTCCATATTTACACATTGTTGGTATGACGCATTTACGTCAAAAATATGTCTAACATAAGCGAAATAGCAACAAATAGGCCTACTTAGTAGCAATGGAAACTTCAGCATTCACAGTCAAGGGAATGGGTGAGGGGAGGGACAAACGACGGACATAACTGAAAAAAAAGGTATTTAACGAAACCGCCCCACATTTTTGCAAACATATTACAAGGATAAGCGGTAGCTACATCAGCACAGTGTTTGCTCAAGGTCTGCAAGACCGGAGTTCGATTCCCGGCAAAGGTACATGATTTTTCTTTCAATCTGGACCGTCTCTGGGGCTCACCGAGGCCTCTGTCCAGTGGGTGTCGACAGTCCCTTCCCGGGGGCAAATTGCAGACGGAGCGTGACACTGACCACTCACTCCCATCTAGTGTCGAGTTCAAGAACGAGTAGCTGTACCTCCCCAAAGCGACTTCACGACATAACACTACGGACAGCTTTAATTCACTAATCTATAAAGTTCAAATTTGGAGATAGGTCTGGATTCCTCTGGGCAAGTGTTTGTAAAACAGATTTTAGGTTCTGAGACAAGTATGGGAATGACGGACAACGAATGACTTCGTTGTAAGTTGTGAAGCCAATATATTGAAACCAGCAACGAAAGAAGTGCGACATGATGCAGAAGAAATCCGACTAATGTTTTCCTTTCCTCTCTGTTTTAATGGCATTCCTCTTTGCAGTAAGATGAACACATGAGGCATTTCAGCCACTATCAGTAACAAATTTTTCGATGTATAATCCTTTATCCACAACTGGCAATTAATTCGTGCATTCGCTCCCCGTCATCCCAAAACCTGCCTAGAAACCTCAAATCTCAGAGAAGTAGTGAAATGGTGGGAATTACGTTCTCTTTTTTTCGTTGCGGAGGAAGGATTTAATACAAATTCAAGTACTAATGCCTACTCCTGCAAGCAGTATTATTACAGGTAGTTGGGTTGTAGGTAACTACAGATCAAGCAGCAATACTTCTTGACAAGATCGTCACGAATCATCGTATCTTTCAACGCTACATAATCCTATTTATTGACTACAAATTTGTAAAACAAATACGGTGGTGTGTATAAGAATATATACATATGAGAAGGAAGTGCTGAGAATAATACGACCAGTAGGCCTAATCTTTGGTGCTCGGCAAAAAGGGCCAAAGTCAAATGCATGTTGTATTGATTTAAGCTTTCCTCTCCGAGTAACAAAGAAACATTTTCAACTTTTTAATAGTATTCAGATCTGATACATTTGTCATTGAGAATTTGAGGTCAGGTTCGCAATGTTCCCCGTGTTTTTTGTCCTCGATCGTAAATGTTTTATATTTTGATAGAGATGTCAGTCCCTTCATGACCATTTCACTCTTCCTGACTCATCGCATTTTAGTTTTTCCTTCGACGCTTCTCAGACGGTGTAAACAAAACAAACTTGTCACCAGGAGTTGCATAGCTCCTGGCGCTTTAACCCCGGGTACCCACTTCGTTTCCCGGCGGTGCCCGGATTTATAACTTGTGTTGGGCGAGGCCGTGGTCTAGGCAACACGGAGTTTTCCTCCGGGGGCTTCCCCGGTTTCTCCGTGGCATCCCAACACTTACTCCATTCACACACAGAAGAAGGCAATGGCAAACCACTTCTGGATCATCTGCCAAGAACGTATATGAACAGGTCCCAGTCCGAGAAAAGGATGGAAGGATCCTGTTCATATGGACCTGTCGTCAGACAGAGCACTAATAATAATAATAACATTACCTTACCTTACATTTCATTACATTACATTACATTCAGCTACCACAGACCCATCTTAATCGTAACTAATTCAAGTTGAATAAGCAAAGTCTTAATCAAACTTATCTCAATTGTAAAGCATGTATAAAGGAAATATTTAGAATAAAGCCAATATATAAACTTCCTTTCCGTATAGACGTATTTACGTCCAATTCTCCGGAACCGTGGTTCCACTGACAACTTTTTTATTCGAAGTAATAAAAAAACCACTGATCTGAACAAATTAACTAAATTATGCGCTCAAGGATCTAACTTAAACAACGTGTGCGATTCTTTTTTCATAGCACAAAGTAAAGGTGACGATTTTTATCTACACTACAACAGTAATAAAGTTATTTTAAGACTTATTGAGAAAGCACGGCTAGCTTTGGCGATTGTAAGGAATGAAGTTTGTAGCGTATTTAAGGCACAAGCGCTCCGAAAATATTACCTCAGAAATACGAAAAAGTCGGTAAAGGACGGATAACAAAATCCTAGTTCCTACGTAAAACAAATCCTTACACCCCGAGTTACTCACCCTGTTGAGTAACCTAAGTGTTCAATTAATATACTCATGTTGGCGTCAGCTCTATACTACAGTGTTGTCTTCATTACATCATCATCTTTTGGACTAGGCCATGTGGCCTGTTCCAATTCCGAATTCCTTCTGAAATTATGAATGAGTTTAGACATTTGGCAGGACTCTGTGAGCGCGTGTACAACCCATAGAAATGCCGCTGACTACACAGGATAGCACAACAAAGATGAGAACAAACATCCTTGCCTTGAACGGGAGTCGAACCTGCAATCCCAGTATTCAAGCAACTAAGACCACACCCTTGATAACGCGGCCAGTGAAATCGGTGTGCCTTCAGTAGAATTACGTAAATAGTACTAAATATAGAAACAATTTACTGAATCACTTCTTTATAATTCGTTCTTAGTGATGCAGATAAAGGAACTATTTCCTTTCCCTAACGGGAGTACAATACATTTATAATACCAATGTTGGGTGCACTGCTTGCTTTGCGATTGACCTCCCATCTACAGGTAGCATTGCGAACATCTGGATTCCGGAAATGACTGTGGTTTCCCATCGTTCAATTCGCGAAGTTCTTTTCCTGCGTTCATTAGCATCGCAATATGGTATGTGTGTGCTTTATTACTGTACAATTTAGCAATAAACATCGTCTTTGCGCTATAGTAAATAACACGTATATGCATTTAAAAAGAAACATATTATTTTACTGTGTATAGATATATGAAAACATTACGATTTTTTGCAGGGTCGCGTTAGGACAAAGACCGTGAAGAAAGCAGCGAGAGTAATAATAGAGAAATATTATACTAGACTGACATTGGATTTTCACACTAATAAGCGAATATGCGAAGAAATCGCAATCATTCCTAGCAAACCATTAAGGAATAAAATTGCAGGGTAAGTCAATTACACTGTGAAAAGCAAGGTGTATAGCGGTGTTTGACTTTTATTCATCCCAAAATATTGATGGTTAAGGTTTGTATATCTATCACAAAAATCCGTATTAGTGACCATTGCAGTTGTAGACATGAATTAGATGTGAAATATATGCTGATTCAAATTTTGACTAGTGCTTGTATGAATGCCACATGGTGTTTACAACTGGCATGGGTTGTGGTATTTTAAAATCACAGCAGTCGAAGCTTATCCCCTGTTGTTGCCAGATTTACACTGCCAAAGGTGCATTCTACAAACTAGGGCAGCATTAAACAATGAAAAACAACCATCATACCTCAGTAATGTAAGAATAAACTACACGTACTATATTAATAATGATTTGTTGATGTCTGTTAGTCCCAGTAGTTGACAAGTAGAAAAAACAATGAACTAGGAAATGTGGGATAAGTAATGGTGCCATTTGTTGGGGACTTGAGTCTGTACTGCCCTGGTCCCATATCTGCCACTCTTGCATTTTACCTTGTGTTTCAAAATGTGTGGCTGTGGCTTTAATGTTTCGTCTGCTGCGTCTTCCAGTTGCCAAGCTTATCCATAGCTGTTCACATATTGTTTTGTTGCATCCAGTTTACCTTGAGTATAAATTCTCTTTATTAGAAAAGTGTTATTTACCAAATTTGGGTGGGGTTAATTTGCAGAAGTTTTTCAGTGACATTCTCAGCACATAATAAATTTAGCCAAGTTCAGCAAACTAAGTTTTGCCTGTGAACATTAATCAGTGACTCTCAAGGTATGTTTAATTTCAGATTTTTATACTATCACACCCTTCAAAACTCTGATGTCTAAATGTGCACTGTATGCAACAAAAATCAAGTTCCTTAAGTTTCCCACTCTGGGAGCAATGTAAGGTTACAGCTGGTATAACTCCAGTCATTTGTAATCTGTTTGTATTGGAATATATATTTTGCTTTTTTGTATCTTTCATTAACTACAATTATGTGTGCCAGATGTCTGTTAAACAAAGACACTGATATGTCTGCATTATTTAAGTACATCTATTTAAGTTAATGTTTTCCCATTTTGTGGAGAAATCTGATGGAAAAATGGAGGTGAAATATATACTTTACTGACTTGCCTATGTTCACGCATAGGAACACAGTTGGGAAAGGGGCTAGTGTTGATGTGAAGTGCAAGTCACAATGTTTGATGTGTAAGTTGATTTGCACACATAGTCAGAGTCGTGCACTTATATATTTTTCAACAGTAGGCCTTTGTTTAAGAACTTCATCATGGGTTTCATTTGTTATTTTTGACTTGTTTATTTGAGGTGGACATTGAATTTGGAGGCCATAAAATTTCATTTATTTTTTAAATATTTGCATCAGCAAGGTAGGCTGTAGGTGAATCCAACATACTGGTGTTCATCTCAAATAACTAGTCAGAAATAACAGCTGGAAACCACAATGAAGTTAATATACGATCAATTAATAGTGAAGATACTCTGTCTCAACCTTATGTTTAATCTCTATGAGTCCATGATGAGACAAGTGAGATTGTGGTTAAGGCTCAGTGATTCTGGACATCTCATTAAAAATTCCAGGTCTTGTAAACAGCTATTTTAAGGGGTGATGTACTAATGTCATATTTTGTATAAGTAACAGATATACTTATGAAACAAAAATTCTATTCTGCAAATAAAATTATTTGTCTACATTGAGAATCACAATATAACATCGAAGTCAGACTTGAACTTATTAACTTGATCTTCACATCAACACTAGTTCCTTTCCATACAACCCTGCCTGCGAGAGAATGCAGGCAATTCAGAAAAGTATGTCTTTTCACTTTGGGCTTTGTCTCATGACTGGGAAAGGCATTAACACTAATTCATGTTTTTCCTCATATGCACTGCTGTGTGCTGAATTGAGATTTGGCATAAGTAACCATAGGTATTCAAAGGAGCATATGGATGCACATACCAAGATAAAGAATGAGTGGCATTATGATGCCAGCTCTACACTTACATCACTCTTGGTTTGGGACTTCGAAAATTCCATGACCTTGATTTTTGTTGTACAGTGTACCACATGCATTGACATTTTGTAACTCTGCACTGAAGATAGGCTTCAGCTTCAAAGGGTTGATGCTGACAAGCATGTTTGTATCCCCTTCGGCATGTTTCATTGATTGGTTCCCATACTCTGGATAGGATAAATGTAACTCAGTGAAATCATATATAAGTGAACAGCCAATAAGAATGACAGATCAACATGTTTGTTAATAAAAAGAATTAAGTAATATGTGAACTTCTTTAATAAATTATCCATGGTGGCACGTGAGTTGATGAGGTTAAGTGTGGCCATAGGTCTGGAAATGTTGAGCACCTATTGTGCTTGCATTGTTAATGAACAGTTATAATGTCTTGATAATTAAAGGAAAGTTGGGCATGTTTATAATGCATTCTACACATCGATTGACACGTTAATAGAGGCCTGTTTTATTGCTTGCATAAAATTTAAACCTTACATAGCTTCAAAAATAAAGGACAAGTGGGCTATATAATTTCACAGAATTTTAAGTTGTATATGACATGTTGATTAAGAAGCTTAACAAGAGGCATAGGTGGATACAATTTATTCAAATATAACTCAATATGCAGAAGTCAAAGCAGTCTTAAATGTAATGGCATTTCCTTTGTAAATATGTGAACATACATAGTGACCAGTTGCTTTACCTGGATCATGCAAAATCTACAGATGTTTTGACCCACCCATTGTGTGTATTGATTGTTTCTGTAATGGCTGCATTTCAGAGTGTGGGATTTGAAGTGATTTTGCTGAATAGGACATCCACATTTCTGTTTTGAAGAAAATCTTCCAGTTCTTTATAAATTAATTTGTATTTGATGATAAATACTGACTACATTTCATATATCTATATTATATCAGCCATCAGAGTCCAGAAGTAATAGGTTACACAGGGAATGACCTGCTAAAATAGATTCTGGAGCCTGTCTAAAGGATATTTAAGAATTTGGTCTATACCTCAAAGAAGAAACAACACTTCTTCATTAGATTGATCTTGTGGTTAATGCTCTTTTAGGAAGTAATCCACATTTACACTGAAAATTACATCATATCTATTATATAAGCTGTCCAGTGTCTGTATATTATTACTTCAGAATCTTATTCTGGTGTCATTCTCAGTCAGAAATGTCACGTGAATATGGGTCCAATTGTGATCTGTCATGGAGCTTTGGATATTTGAAATTTCAGATGGTTTGAACCTTATATAGAATGTCAGAGTTATTCCTACATCTTGAAACATTGATAATTCAGTGGTGTAATTCATCTTTTCTTTTGCTTCTTTATTCATATGCCATGTATTCATGGAAATCTAAGGGGAGAGAGATTTAATTGCAGTGGACCTTCACAACTAATCCTTCAACCACGGAAATGCTAATTTAGGTACTCTGTCGCATGTTGAGTGAAATGCAGGTTCCCCATCATGCTGGAAGTATGTCTGTAATCATATTTTGCATCATTCGTAGTTTATATCTATAGCTTCAGAAATATTGAGAATAGTATGGCATTTCTGCTTGTGAATGACTGAGGAATAGAACCCTGAAGTACTGATATCAAATAACCACATGAAGTCTTATGATCTTCATGAAGACGTGATTTCAAGCGGCTTTAATCCTGTATTGCTGCCATAATAAGTGTATCAGCTGTTCATTTGATTTATCTTGTTGGTTTCAGATTAGAGAAATTTTTTACTGAAATGGTTTGCCTGGACATCTTTAAACCAATTAACATTCCGCTATAAATACTAACCTCACACATTCACATTAAAATATAATTATAATTCACAAAATGTAAATAATGAATTTCAGTTCATGGCCTACTGTATATTTTTATAGAACATGGGGAAAAACAGGTTCATATTGTATTAATAACTGTGACAACTCAAAATAGCACAATTTTGCAGCTTTCATAAGGAGCAAGAAGGGAGGCGGAAGAGACAAAATCATTCACATGCACATCATTAGACAGCTTGACCTAACTGAACCTAACAACTTAAGAGAGAGAATAAAAATGTTGATCAGATTCCTTGAAGGAAATTAATATAATGCACCCTAATCTAACTGTATGTCAGGTACAGTGATAATGTGCTTTCCTTTGTTGTCTTTTATAAATACAAAACATGTTTGACTCATACTACCTTCCAGTCATTCACATTTAATGTGTATATATTTTTTGTTATTAAATTTATGACAGCCTGCACACTGCAGCTACAGCTGCTGTTTAAAATACTCTTGGCCATGATTGTCTTTTCGCATGGATTGATGTATTTAACTATACTGATATCTATATCATCATATTGTTGTATTGATTTTCATTAAACTGTGTATTGGTGGGGGTACTTAAAATTTGTTGGCAGCACATCATACTTTGGTTAAAATATGACAGTAATGATGGACGTTTCATACAGAGGCCAACATGCATTCTGTGTGCATCTTGGCCATAACTTGCTAAATATTTATTAGACTGAAAATGTTTCAAAAGTTGTAAAGAAACCTGAAACATTTTATGTCCAAACACTTTATGTTTTGTTTTTTATGTAAGTAAGAAGGATTTTAAGTATATTACAACAGTTTTTCTGTGAATAATAGTTCCACATCTTAGAAGTAACTTGTATTATATCATATTACAGATGAATATTTTTGTGGTATCCAACTACATCAGATTTTCCATTAGATATGATGTATGTGAAAACTGTAGGTCAGGTAAAACAGATGGTATAAAATTGAAACATGATAGTAGGTACAGTCCACAGACCAGGAGAAAATCCCTGCTAGGAATTCGTTAAACGTGCATGCGCAAGATTTCGCGGTGAGTGACGGCCCATCCTAAAAGCATTTGTTCCACAACCACTGAATGAACAACAGGCTTTCATGTGTTCTAATGGGTACAACTTTAAGATTACGGCACAGCGATTTAATCTAGAATATTATCGCAACATCCGCAGAACACATTAGAGGTGCACTCACTACACGCTACTCTTTAACTGCTTGATGTTTTCAGTCTGTGTGCAGTAGCCTTAAACTCTGACGTATCACACTTCCCACCAATAGCAGCCCTCTAGTCCAGCTGATAAGTAACATTCCCCCCGCACTGACCAGAAACGACTTCCCCTTGCAGGGATTTTCTCGTCATCTGTGGACAGTAGTTTTGGAAGTGTCTGAATTTTCATGTTTGTGTACAGTAAAACTTTCTTGATATAGATTGGCACTATTTTATTTAAAAGTATCATGACATGCTATCTTTGTGAAAGAAAAAATATTTATATTCAGCAGAATACCCTGCAGTAAAACATAGAAGCTGTATTATACTAAGGATATCTGCTTATGATACTGCATAGCATAACAATCTAGAAGACTACTATCTGAACAGATTTGTGGTGGTTGTAGAGGAAGAAGCTTTCCTAAACAGTTCATAATATTTACAAATGTGATAACAATATGCATCCTGTGTTAATGGAGAAAAGGAGTGAGAATGAGAAAAAAACTAAATATTTTACCATAGAAAAGGTCCTTTACTGACTAGGCGAGTGACTGTTAGCTTCATACGGACTGCTTTGAATTGGTTTGGATATTTATCTTTTCCATTTATATTATCAGATCATGTCTAAATCTTCATCTGAGGTGACTGTCTTCTGAGTTGTATCACCATGCAGTCTGGTATAGGTTTACCAATGTTTCATAGGTCCTTGCTGTTGCAATCATCAGGGTGATGATCACCCTGGTGATTGAGGTAGCAAGGACATTGAAATGCTACAACCCAGAAGGCACCATCTTCATACTTGGCACCCCGATGACATCAAATCCATATATTTGTCGCTTGTCATTGTGCTATGGAGCAATTACTTTTGGGCACAAGTGTCTTCTGTCCTAAACATTTCCCATGCAAGAGAACTTGAATTTTCTCTCTGATGTTTTGGGGCATGTTTACTCAAATATTACATGGCTTCTTAGTGATTCATTTGTTTAATTTCTTGTATAATTAGCTTTGTCACTCACCTCATGAAACGCCTGCGGCATAGCCAAGTCCGTGGTATCTCCATCAAACTGCAAGAAGAGGAGAGAGAGCGCCGTGATAACTATGTTCCAGAAGTGTCTGCCCTTGAACATGACATCATTGAGGTAGATCCTGAAACAAAGGAAATGCTGAAGATGTTGGTAAGGAGTTTGCCAGTTGTTGATTGTTTTACTTGCTTTGTTTGTTGGTATATGTAATATTAAAGACAAAAAACCTTGCTTTCAGGATTTCAATAACATTATTGGTCTGCAACTCACTCAGCCAGCTACACAATCATTTGGGCGTCGTCCATAAACATATTTTCAATTTTGTCTATTATAAATAAAGTGTAAACTGAAACAAGACTGAATGAATTATAATTTATTGAACTTCCATATTTTCCTTCTCCGATAGTTTCCTTGTTTACCTTATTGGTTTCTAAATAGGTGTGGTTATAGTGGATGGGGTCAATGACATTGGCTGGTAGATCTGTGTAAGAAAGGATACTATAAGGGATGGGAGTAAAGTATGACAAAATGGGTTGTAGAGGTTATATCAAATTGTTGGGAGATACACAAATGTGGGAGAGCGTTGTGGGGTGCATAGGTGCTCAAGGTATTCTGCAGTGATTTCAATAACTTACATTAAAGGCTGGCAGAAAGCTCGTAAGAAAGCGTAAAGGAGTACATCCATAACGCTTGTAGATCACCATCAGTCACAATGTAAGTTCATACTAGACCGTAAAAAGGGTTGTTACAAAAGTGTTTACAGGAATTGAATATTGATTTATTTGTTACTTCCTGAAAGCATTTGTGTGGATAATACTGATTTCGGAATTGTATTTTATGCGTTTTGTTGCTCATGTGCCATTACTTGGTCCATACTTCTTAAAAATGTCTTTGTATAGGCCTATTGATGCAGATCATTTTGGCAACGCGCAAGGATACAAACGGATTCCCGAGCTTGAGTGTTGTGAACCGTAGTTTGGGTCGTGATTGGATGGGGAGAAGGAAGTCGGTAACTCTGAATCATTCTCTTGTGATATATAAGGGAGGAATTTAAATCCTATAATAAATATTATTTATTTGTGGTTGAGGGCAGAAATGGAGTGTCCACATCTTGCAGTAAGTGTAAAAATACAAAATAGTCTCCGCAAAGAAAGCACTGATGTCACAAAGAAATGGCATTGCGCAGGTAAGTGTAGACCGAATGACCCAATGGAAAAGTGTTCTTCGTATGTTTGTAAAACAGTATGTTAAGGTTAAAGTGCACTTGAATGTAATGTAATGTAATGAGTTTTGTTTTCATTTGCAACCTTGGCATATTAATTTCATTTAAATTGATACTCATTAAGGGACTTGACAGGTTGTAATTATTCATTGTTGAAAATGTAATTATTGAAGCAATTTGTACAGTTGTAGTGTAGATATAATTTTAAAATATATGCCCCTATGATTCATTAATGTCGTCAGATTGTAGTGGGTGTCCCTAACCTAACATAACCCTTACTGGTGTGGAACAAGTGCTCTTCCCCACATAGATTTTAATCGGTCACTGTATAAAATATGGTACCAACTCGTGTAATGTATGTTCATCGTAGAAATGTCCATTCCATGCACATTTGTGTGTGACTTTCTCTTTACATATTTCTGTATAGTAGTTGGCATCACCCATTCCTATCAGCTGTTCCTCTGAACCCAGTCTTTTAGTGATATTTTGTTTGGAGTAAAATGTGGCATAAAAACGTTTTATAGGAGTGTTTATCAAACGTATCATATTCATATATGACCACTGGCAATGTTACAAATTGGTTTATGTAAAAAGTAATTTGAGCTTCGCATTAAGCTTTGAAGAACCCTTAAATTTTGTCAGGCCCTTAGAAGTTTATTGTACTGTTCACCCAGCAAGAAAAGTGAACATTGTACGAGTAGTTAGCAAATTCAGTATTTTGCAGTTTCTGTTGACATTTATATAAATAACTAAGATCTAACAACTTTTCAGACTGACTGGAAATTTATATTTTATAGGATTTGAGGTTTTCACAGTGCTGAGTCTGAAGATTGCTGTCTAATGGATTATTGCGCCGTGCAGTCTGGTAGATTTCCACAATAAATTCATCGCCCTGATGATGGAGGCAGTATGACCTCTGAAACGGTGGAAATCTATCAGACTACACAAACCCAGAAGACAGCAATCTTCAGTTTATATTTTCTTTGATAGGTAATGTGAATATTAGTTACTACCCATTAATATTAATCTTTGTTGCCAAGGAAAGTAAGTGCATTGTCATCTTCTGGGTTATGATGTCTTGTAATATTGTAGGTGGTTACTGACATTTTGAATGAGGTATATTGCTTCCATCTTCAGAGAAGGCAACCACATACAAATCCTCATGGTATCATAACTCAGACTGTAATCCACATTTTCATCATTATCATATCTCGAGGAATAAGAAGTTGATTTTCAGATCCATTATTAACTGTTTTGTCTTATTTGTGACCTTAAATTTGCATATTCAGTTCAGAACTTTGTTGTTTTGCACTTTTTATATTTTATTATTATCTGATTAAATTATATTTTAGGTCTATGTTAACATTCTGTGCTCCTTCCTTGATTTTTATAAAAACAATTCTTGGTTATTTCTGTAATTCTAGAGATATGTGGTTATGATAAGAGAACTCATACAATAGATTGGAGCCCTTGCAATAACAGTGCAGGACCCTGCAACCAGATGGCAAAATTTATTGTATGTAGTGAGTTGCTTTACAAATGTGTACTTGGGTGGGATTACTATATTTCATAGGATGAAAGATACTGAAGAGGGTGTGTGTGTACAGTCCTTCCCTGACTTCTGGAATGACATGAAAGAAACAGAATTAATAATATTTACTTCCTTTTGTTGATTTAAGAGCTATGTTTGGCCTGAATAAAATAGTCCAACTAGCAATTGTATATGCATGGTAGGTGGTTAGGAGAGAATAGGAAATGTGTTCAGGTCACTCTTGTGGTTTCTAATTGACATGAAAAATAATTATATTAATGTTTAACCTTGTGTTTTTATAATTGGGAATAATTTTTTCTGTAGTACAAAATTTGTTGTAAATATAGTATGTTGAATTTACTAGTGAAGATCTCTTCATTTCCATGGAAACTTTGTTTTGGGGATGAAAAGTTTGGGGAAGTCGGTAGAATGTGCATGAAGCTTAAACAAAAAGACTGGGGATGGAACTGTAATTAACCACATGAAATTAACCATAAGTGGGCATTATGAAAGGTTTCATTATTATGTGTTCTTTGCATGATGTGCATGAAACATGCATATAAGGCTGGTCATGCGTATATGTCTGTTTGCATGTTTGAACTTGAGAACCACTGGATGAATTTGAATGGAATTTGTAATGGATGTTTTGCCATTGGGGACTGCCCTAAAATTGTATTTTTAACAATTTCCTGTTATTGATTATACCAACATGATGGATGAACAAATTTTTGAGGTGGATTGACATGAGGACCACTTGAAGTAGGGCCATACAATGATGTATGGTTATAGATTTCTGGAAAATACAAGATTTTGGTACAGTATTTTTTTTATATTGTAAAGTAACAACATGGCAGATGCATATGTTTTGATTTTACCAGGAGTCGATCCTCTGACTTCACACATACAAGTTGCTAACATGCCTTGTGACATGGGTGTTGATGTAGGAGTAAAGAGGACAGTAAGATACATGATTTGTATAGTTGGAAACTATAGCTGTCTAAGTATGATTACTGATTTAATCTTTCTTTATTAATTCAGAATTTTCAAAAGAATGCATGTGTGTGTTCCTGTATGGATTACACTTTTCCAGTCTTGTTAGATTTCTTGTCATCAAGATGGCTGTTCAGTTTGGGGTAGTATAATTGCTGCTTGATGAAGGTGTGGAGGATACCTGCAGAATGTCTCTACCCACAGTTGCTCTTTGGAAAGTAGAATTTTTGCTATCATAGCATTAAAGTATTATGTATATTTATAGCATTATTCTTTCTTAAAATTTCTTGACAGAAAATGAGAATTTTAACCTCTCATCAATAAAGTTTTCACACAAACTTATAGAACAAAAGAGGGAAACATTTATGTGTAAATAGTGTATTCTTTGTAATGGATGCCTTACTGAGGAGATTAAGGCAAGAAGCCTATATGAATGAATTCATAACCAATGTGTGTTGCAAAAAATTTACATACATTTTACTGCAAAAAATGAGGTTAACATATTTTTAAAATATGAAGGCCTGGTTTGGTCTACAGGTGGTAAATCCAACTGACTCCATGGAGCAGAATCCTTCTTTAGGTGCATCTAGTCATGAAATAGCCTTCCTTTTATGGTATTCATTACTATGTTCTCAAGATCTGATCTGCCCTGATCCAAATAAATCCAGTCCACATTTTCCTGACATATTTTTAAAAATCCATTTTAATAAAATCTTTTCCATATACTCCTAGGTCTTCTGAGAAGTCTCTTCTCTTCTGGTGTTCCTAATAATTTTTGGCAAGGAGTACAAATTATGGAGCTCATCATATACGTTTTATACACCCTCCTGTCAATTCACCCCTCATTCCTTGCCAAATCAATACAGCTCACAACCATATCTCCACTAATTTACATGCAAATTTACATATATATTATGTATCATGGAGTAACTATCTGTACTGGTTGTGAGGGCTTGGATAAAAATCATTTTGAAATGGTGGTGGTCTGAAATTTACAAAGTTTTGTTACCTTATAATGGTTTTAATTTCGACTCCGTTAGGTATAGAATGCTGAATTAAAGCGCACTGGAAAGATGATTACATGCCCTCTCCAATGATGTCTCATACGTTTTTTACCTGGGGAAAAATGTTGAAAGTCAACCAGTGTGGCCTTTGACCTTGAAATGCTAAAAATATGGACCTTCATTTCTTTGATAAGAATATATTTCTTGCCCAATTTAATATCATAGCCGTGCTTCAAATTTAAATTTGGGAATGCACTGTGATCATTATTATACTAGGAGAGTGTCCACTGTGTTGTAGCAAGAAAATTTTACGCATGCTTACATGCTTAGCATGATTCTTCTGTATTTCTTAGCTATCAGGCTGCAGAAACTATCTTCACGCAGGACTGAAACCCAGAACATATTCACAGTTGTTCCCTATGTTCTTGTAATCTCCCTCCTGAAACAAACAACTTTTGTCTTCGCACTGGTCTCCTGTCATACTTGGTTTATATGATAAAGGAACTGTATTCACCAGGACTTGAACCCAGGACATATTTTCGGGTTTGTGGCCTTTGTTTTCATAATCTCCTCACTAAAACTTCAACGTTCATCTGGGCACCTTCTTCTGTCATGTTTACTTTCTGACCTACAGGATCTATCCTCATTGGAATTTGCACTATCCTGATAGGTTTTTGAGATTTTCATAAGTTTTTCCATACACAGGATCCACAAATAGGCAATGACAGTCCTCTGCCATAGCCTTACCTACTTGCTATTCATGATAATTTTCCTGTTAAATTCATCACAAAAGAAACAATCTTCCATTTATGGCAACACTAGCTGTAGTTAGCCAGGCGTAATGGGTATGGTTTTATGATTAGTAATGTAAACCATAAGGCTGAGAATCCCTTAACAATGTTACCATGATAGTGGTTGTAACTATTTAAACACAAGCATAGACTGTTATTTATTAGGATACAGTTAAACACTGTCTTCACATGTTAAAAAAATTTTAATGGGCTGATCTAAGACTACTTATATGCCCTAGCTTTAGCTGTGGAACTAAATATAAGTTGAATACCTGTTCAGTTGTTTATTAGTTGTTTACACAGGACATGGTACTAACTGGGTAACCCCTGTTTCTAAGTGCACAAGGTAAGGTGGAAGGTCAATTAACAGAAAGAGAGTATATATTCTGAATTTACATACGACATCAAAAAAGCCTGTAATATGTGGTGATGCAGTAATATGTCGTTAACAGCGACTTATAGAGTTGTGACGGCTTCATTAAATAACCTGAAATTAAAAGTCTTAAATCCATGTCAAAGTCATCACTTTTGATAGTTTTATAAACCTCATTAATTAATATAAATGGAATTTCGGTAATTGAACCGACAGCTTGAACCTCCTTAGAAGCAGTATCCGCCACTGGACACGATCTCTAGCCAGGTTATCCACCCCCCCCCCCCCCCCCCCCGAATACCGATGCACTCTTCACACTCCCAAGAAGCAAACAATAGAAAACAAGGCAGGATTAGTAAGTACCTGGTGGACGTCGCGTCTGGTGGCCACTGTCGAAGAGCATTCCTTGGGTGCCGAAACAACATTTAGAACGCGGAACCAAATAGAATTTCTAGATGTTTTCCGAACGGAAGTCTGCACAGAAGGTTTTCTTCAGTTTTCGGGGAAAATGGTTTAAAGTAGCAAAGGAGACAGTCGAGGGGTGGGTAAGACGGAGAAAGGATGCTCATGTCCGACAGGAAGCGTTGTTAAGATGACCGAACCAGTTAGTGATATAATCGGTAAATTATCGTGCACACGGCACAGTCGTCGCCCAAAGTGGTCACTGGGGTACTCAAGTGAAAGGTATCCGCCGTAAACATCCACCGAATTACTCTCTACAAGGGCCACGCCCGAGAGGCGAACGCACGGCGCTGGTGATATATCAGCGAAGCAGAAGGAAGGTGAACTTCGGGCATGAAACGCTGGAAATATCCCTTATCCGAGGGCCCATTGGGGAAGAGCGCAGCCAAGCATCATGACGACCAAGATGAGAATACCCAGTGGCACGTGCTTAATCTAACTGCAGGAACATCAAATCTTCATCCCAGGACGTATGTGAATCGCTGTAATAAGCTATAAGAGCCGAGCGCGTGTTACTATTGGTCCTCTCGGCATGCGAAGGCTGCGGACAGTAAGAAGTGGTAGTAACATGTTCAATACCGAGCCCGAAACAAAACTTCTAATTCTTGAGATATTAAACACTTAGCATATCGAAATCGACGATAACGCTCGGAACCGAAAATGTGGAGAACACTCGATCTCTATGGGCCTTTTTAGTAACCAAACTAGTGACCTTACAGTGACCAGCCATTCCACATATCAGAACATTGAATGTCTGTAGTTCGAGGGAATTTGACCACACAACCAATGCAAAGCTGTTAGGGACGTTCTGGGCTGGTTTACTTCGGCTGCATACCTCAAAGTTACGAACACTTATACGAATGTCGTTGTCCATGAACTTCTGTATGAAATTGTACCGGGTTTTTTTCTAATTTTGTTGAAGTCACCTGAGTGTTCACCCAAGGGCGAGGTGTGGTAATAGTTGAAAAGCATCGGGACCGATGCCGGAGGCACGACAAATTTTCGCGACACTCGTAACATCTTTCGACGAAGGGAACTTTCTGATAGCCTTGGTGCGATCTGGGTCAATGGAAACCCCCTACGGCAGTACACGGTTTAACAGTCAAGCCTGCATTTCGAATTCGGGATAGAACCTGAGTGACGTGATCGAGGTGTTGGTAGAAATTAGAGTCAGAGTAATTTTCACAAGGTGCACTATGCCAAAAAATGACTGTTTTAAATTTTGATTGCTTGTTACAAAAAAAACTATAAGGAGTATAGAGCTAAAATTTTAGTTTGAAAATTGCAATTTTTTGTGTTTGACATGGAATGACCTAAATTTGAAGAACACCTTTGTGGAACAGATTAATTAATGATTTAAACTTGATTTTGATAATAATTCTGTTATAAACCAACTGAATACCACATTTATTTTATCTCCTCAAAATTCCTGTATGAATTTAATTACCTAACTTTTAATATAGATGTCTCAAAATTGAAATGTAATTTGTAAACTACATGTATTGTCCACTACGTAAGCTATTTCAGTTTTCGTCTGGTGGCACTTCATAATTACCAAAGTAGTTGGCATAGGAATGTGTAGGTGTCCCATAACCATTATAACATGTTAATGGGTTAAAGATTGATAATACAGCAATTCCTTTTCAAATATAGGAAGACAACTGAAAAAGCCACATTTGAAAATGTAATCATTTTGAAGAAAATATGTGGTACCTCCAAAAATTTACAGGACAGGAGCAAGTACAGCAACATTGTGGCAGGTAGACTTTTCAAAGCTTTTTTGCTTCAGCTTCATCTCTTAATACTTCTTGGTATTGTATCAGCAGTTTGTGTGAAAATTTCTACAACATAATCTGTTTTTAAAGTAGCTTTCAGACGTCCTTTGTATGCTTACTTTATCAAGCATATAACATAAGTAGCATGTTTACAAAAAAGTGTGTGTGCGCTGTGAGTTTAAAAAGAAATATAGGGTACCACCAGTAATCAGTTAATGCAACCTCTATTCCATTTTTAATTCATATTTGTATTTAATCCTCACATTCCTTAGTGCAGAATGAACTGGGTTTGTGCTAGTCTTTACTAAAATAAGGAACTGTGTTGCATACTGTGTATGTGGTAACTAGATGTTCCTCCATTGCTGGTCTAATTCGTCTTAGTTAAAGCATTATCTTTGCAGTTGAACATGGGCTGTTTTATATGAGTGGAAGTTCTGTCTCAGTTGCCTTTGACACTCATTCAGACTTTAATGTTCATTGTAATGATTTTTTTTTCTGACGGAGCATGATGTACTATTACTCTTTTCAGTAAGAAAATACTGTTATTATGCAACCCTTTGTGAATTACTTAATAAAGATGTAATCATGGAAAGGTAAATGTAATTTCACTCTTTTACCAGCAAATAACCTATCAAGCTGTGTGCCTTGCTTAGAGAATACTTACTTTCTGGTAACAGAGTACATTCAATTTTCTAAATCCATGATACAATTGTTATTTTCCAGTCTGTCTCAGGAGGTACAATTCTTTTGATATTTGGCAAACATTTATTGATAATGAAACTAAAATCTTGATAAATTTTGTCTTTACAGTTTGCTCAACATCACAGGATCCGTGGTTGTGTCTGCATTGTGGCATGGTCAACTGTGGGCGCTACATCAAGGGTCATGCTAAAGATCATTTTGAACAGCACAATAATCACATGGTTTGCATTCAGTGTGTAAATCTGGCAGTATATTGGTTAGTAGAAATTTAATATTTTTAACTTACATATTGTTTCATCATTGTAAGTTCTGATCCTTATATCAATAGGTGTCCATTTCCCATTCTACTGTACTCTTTTCCTCAAATTGTCACTGGATTTCTCAGCCTCTTTATACATGTGAGAAGCTGGCACCTTAAAATTTGTCTACTACCTTGTCTGTTCCTCTTGATTATTCATTCATAATTATAGTCACATCTCTTTTACGGTGGTACATTAATTAACTAATATAAATTTTGATTACCATATACATCTTATATTTTGTGAGTTTTTTCATATGAAAATAGCTCTCCAAGGAATTATGCTACTGAACAATATGTGTTTTGTTCTTACAGCTATACATGTGATGAATTTGTTGTTAATGACACCCAGTGTGGACTCCTGGAGAGGGTGCGGCAGGACTGGTTCCAGTCTGTTGACAGCAATCCCTCAGAAGACAATGACTGTTCTGTAGCTGATGATGATGATCAGGGATTTTGGAAGTCTGATTCCCTTACAAAGGAGATTCAGGAGAATGTGCGGACCTTGCGGCCAAGGTCTAGGAAGAGGTACATTATACTTTTTTAAGTGCCAGTTGTTTCTACCACTCTGTTTACTATTTACCATCTTACAACTTATTTTACATTGAGTTACTCTAAAACAGGAGAGTTATTCATATTGCCACTGGCTTTGGTTATTGTGTACTTGGCTTAGATCTGCTCACAGAACTATACCTGTCAAATAATATTGTACTGTATTATCTCAGAAAGGTAACAGTCGAGTATTGCTTACACTTCATATGCTGAATTGGATAATCCTCTCAATAAGGTAGTGAATGTAATACATTATGATAGCATTCAAGAACACATCTACAAATTTTATCTTGGTTCTTGTGAAGTTTGCTGATTTTAATTTTTAGGGTTTGTGTTTAATTGGTTATTTTCATATTTCATTATATTCATTTTGTCTCATCTTCATTGTCTTGCAACAGAATTATTGAAATTTAAAGAAGGGAACAAATAGCAGCATGCAGGCATGACCTTATGCCAGATTAACATTATATAAACAAACATTCTGTAAAGAATATTTAATTTACTGTTGTTGAGGTAGCACACCTTCCTAGACATAATGGACCCACTATGTACTTTTAATGTTGATAACCCTGGATAATTTTACAGTGGTTACGATAAAATGTTTTCAGCTTTGTTTTCTGTATTGAACAGTATTGTTTGAGGAAGAATTGTGTGAAGAAAAATTGTTCACAGCTTTATCTGAAATCTGTGAGCTGGCTCTAAATGTGTGTTATGTTTAACTTGCATCGGTGTGATCTTCAGTTTTTGAAGGTACCTTCATTAGATTCATATTCCCGTGGTTTTACAGAAGTAAGATATGAAACGAATTTGTTGGTTGAACATTGATTTATAAGATGACAGCTCCAGAAACCAAGAAGAATGTTAGCTGTGTATTCCCACAAATAATTTGAATTCTTAATTCTAATCCTTGCCATGACTAGTCATCTTGGCTCAGATTTTTGTTGTTCTTCTTCCAACAAGTGAGTGCCAGTACATTTGACATCAGTCGTTTTATAATAGTTAACCTCATAACAGTGTTAAAATCAGGCTTACGATCTCACCGCTGTGCCGTGAGGAAATGTATGGGTTTGGTATTAAAACTTATTGCATTCTGAGATGGAGGAAAGCAGTCAGTTTATATTTTGGCTACCATTATGACAAATCTTCTAGCACAATTAATAGAAGTATGCATGAGTTCAGAAGCTGTCCGAAACAACGCATTGAAGAGGAACACTGCATTAGACACAACAAGAGCAGTTGTGAATGTAATACTCTCTTGAAGATTTCCGTCTTCTGGGTTGTTGTGCTGTGTGGTCTGGTCGATGTTAACCAACGTTTCAGAGGTCATACTGCCTCCGTCATCGACCATACCACACGGCGCAACAACCCAGAAGACGGAAATCTTCATACTCACCACTGTGAGAACCTCAAGTCTTACATAATACTCTCTTTTTCAAAGATTTATGACTCACTGCTTATAACATTTGTACATTAATTTGAGTGGTTTTAAATTTGTCAATATTAATATTATATCACTTAACAGATTTGTTTATGATGTATTATCTATTAATTGCCAAGAGTTGCTAGTGCCAAAAAATGAAATTATAAAACTGACAGTAGAATAGATGACAGAGAAAAACAGACCTTTAAAAAAACCTGTACCTATGTTACTTTGTCAGTCCACAAGCCAGGAGCTGAAACTAAATCGTAAGGATAGCTCATGTAAGTATTTGCAGCTTTTCTTCTAACAATGTATAGTTCAGTAATATGGTATTTGTCTTCATTTAGGTCTCGTTCTGCATATAGCAGTAGTATGGAAAACCGCCGATACGAGAGACAGCATGTCGGGAAACTGAAGAACTCAAATCCTAAGCTGCGGGAGAAGAAAGTTGTAGGTTTAAGAAATTTAGGAAATACTTGCTTCATGAATGCAGTACTTCAGTCATTAAGGTGTGTACCAAATTGAGGGGTGCTGAGGAAAATATTTGGAATGTAGAAGTAAAGAAGTATCAGGATCTTGGAGAAAATTACATAATGAGGGGCTTCATAATTTGTACTCTTCATAAAACATTATTAGGATGATCAAATCAAAGAGCATGAGGTGGGTGACATGTTGCATGCATTGTCACAAAATCTGAAGGTTAATAGACAACTTAGATTGGTGGGAGAACAATTTGAAAATAGAGCTTAACAAAACTGGGTGGAGGATGTTCACTGGATTTATGTGACTCAGGGTAAGGATTGGTATTGGGTACTTGTGAACATTGTAATGAACTTTCAAATTACATTTCTGTGGGAATTTCTTGAGCAGCTGAGTGAATATTAGCTTCTCAGGAAGGACTCTGCTCTTTGAATTAATTACCTGTTACAGTCTGAATATAATGTGTATCTACATGCAAAGTTTATTATAATATCTCCTATGCAATGCTGTTGTACTTCATGAGGTTGTGAAGTGTCAGATTGTTGTAAGATGTACTTGGCTAATATATGTCATTATACACATCCACTGCCACTGATTTGTAAGATGTCCTAATTTATTTACTGTCAGTGCTTCCAGTAAGTTCATTTTTGGTATATGGTCTTGGTATTGATCAGGTGGGGGTAACTTCAGTCAGCCCAGACACTTAGACCACTACTGGGTGTATTGTGCACCCCTAATCTTCTTAGGGTCCTTAAAAGAGCCCTGAGAACACTGCTAGAGCCAGAACTGACCTGACTAAGGTCCTCCTAATATCTGTCAACTCTAACCATGCAGAGCTAAGATCTCTAATCTGCACCCAGACAGCACTCAGCATTGATGATATGTGGCAGAAGGATTCCTCCACCTATTCACATTTTCTGTATATAGCATTTTTCAAGAGGCTCATGATGTGTAAATGCCAGTGTACAATACCAGTTAGCAACTGTGTTAACCAGACTGCATTGCTTCCTGTTTGAGGCTGATCAGTTCCTAAACAATTCATCGAAAGGCCTTCAAATGAAGAACTTTATGAATACTCAATTCTGAAAGTTTGTGACAGTGGTGCGTTGTTGAAGCAAACTGCTTTCTGGACATTATCCATTGTGCAATATTAAGTAACATCAATAAAAACCATGACGTTTTGGAGATGGGACTCTATCTCCATCTTCAGGCCCAAAAGAGTAGGTTTTACACGAAGACGGAGATAAAGTCCCATCTCTGAAATGTCGTGGTTTTTATTGATTTTACTTAATATTGGACAGTGGATAATGTCCAGAAAACAGTTTGCTTCGACTTTATAAATGGTCTTATTTTTCTCACTTTCAGTAGACTAAGTAAGGAGACAGAAATATAGTGGAATTTTTACATAAAAACTTCTTTTTAGTTGCAGTATACGTTTGTATATTCTGCAACTCTAGAATAAAGAAAATCATTATTAAAGGTACAAGTTTTTAAATTATTTTTATCCTAATCATAGGTCTAGCCTTTTCTGTGTTCTTTGGAATTTTTGTAGCTTTTGTTGGTCTTGGTGGTCATTTATTGCAGGTACAAATTTACAGATACAGTAAAACCCCTCAAGTTGGACACCCCTATATCCTGGACACCCCTTTTAATTGGAACCGGCGAATATCCTATAATTTTACATGTCCACAATACCCTATGTCTTGGACACCCCTTTATCCTGGAACTTG